GGTGCCTCAACTCAGTGGTGGCCTTTAACTACCACAACAATACTACTAACAATCAAGGTTACAATTTTACTGCCAAGACTGTGTTATTATGTGTCATTATACCTTTGAACATGCCTATTCTCATTTCCAGCAAAGGGCTCAGCTCAGTGCTCCCTGTTACAGATCGTATGCTAATTGTAAGTGTAATCTGAACAGCTTTTACTTTTCTTTTAAAATGACTGCATAGGGCATAAACTTTGTTGTGGTGCTGTGTTGCTACTTTGCCTGAGGTGCCTTTGTCCTCTAGCATGGCTCCACGTGTAGAATATCAGCAAAATACTGGGAGGCCGAGAACACAGTTTGCATAAATTGCTTATATTGCAAGATTACACCAACAGCGCTATCGTTACTGCTGGTAATTTGATTCTAGCCCATCCTTTGACACATGTAACTTGAAGAAACTAAGTGCCCATTAGGATGGAAGTTCCTAAATGTGCTATCAGCCTGAAACTTCATATTATTTAAAAATACCTGGTAAAAATGGAAATTGCACACTCAGTTAAACGTTGGTTTTCATCAGTGCGTCAGCATCAGATTGATTTAATCCTTGATGAAAAGTTGACGCTTGGAAAAACTCAGGAACAATGAGCCAAATTCTGGCCTTGGCGAGATCCCAGTTCTCCGACAGGCTGAGCATCATCTGAGCAGCGCTCAGCAGCTTAAGCCCTATATGGTTCCCTTGTACCTCTTTGTTAGCACTCCCCAGGAATCTGCCCCAAAGACAAATGTGGTATTTCTGGCAGTGCCCCTGGGCTTTGGTGGATTTGTACTGGTATAAGTGAGTGGACGGGAATGGGGATGTGACCCGATTTGGTTCCAGCTAGAGATGAGCTCCATTTCAGAAGTCACTAAAGGCCAAATCTGCCCTTGTGCCAAGACTACTAAAAGCCCTGAGCAACCTGCAAGTCCCACTGGGGCTCTCAGAATAGTGCTTTAAAGGCACTTTGGGGTGACCTGCCGTGATGATTCCTGAGAAAGCTGATCTTTCCCCCCTGACATGTTGTGCAGGTACCTGGTCCCACAGCATGGACTCCGTTACCATTTTGCTTCTAACCCATCTTTAAGGGCCAAATACAACACAGAGGCACAGTTCCCTCCCTCCCCGGTTTGCCGTAGCTGCCCTTCGCTACTGCACATGTCCCAGGTTAGCCAACATCCTCTTTTTTCTCATCCTCTCCCTAGGCTGAAAGTGCCTAACAAAGCGCTGCATCCCTGCTTTTGCTCACCCAACACTCACGGAGCAAATGAGGTGGGAAGTGATGCTGGAGGCAGGTAAACAGTCCGAAGATTTGGGGTTGGGTCTTGTTTTTCTTTTCCTATTTTAATTAGTTTTGGGGGGATATTTTGTGTGTTGTTTGGAGATTCTTTTTTTCCTAACGTCAAGCAGGGAAGTTGCATACAAAACCTGATAACCTCGTGACTGTAATTTTGCAAGCAAAACATCGGCAGGAATTGCAGCACTCGATTCCCTCTCAATACTCAAAATAAGGTTCAGTGTCCTCCTTCACTTGCTGAAGACAGAGTTAAAAAATGAAACCTTAGTAACTCTGACAGGCTCTCTGATACAGTGTCGTCTTTGAAACATCCTGCTCTCTTTCTTTGGTTGTAGCTGGCCAAACACCAGAAACTCTGCTCAGCCCTTCTCACCTGTTACAGCTCTCAGACCCCTCCTCTCTTTTCAGCCCCGCTCTAAGGAGCGGATCATTACCCTTTTCCCTGTGGACAGTCTATCATGAGCTATTTTTATTCTCTCTATAATTCCCTGACTAACTTCCCCATGCCAAATACTCACTAAAAGTCATCAACCTTCAGCAAGGCCAACAAATGAATCAAATCTGCTGCCAGGTCATTTAGGAGATGAGCCAGTATAGAGTTAGGAACATTTTTTAAAAGTCCGTAGCAAGGGAATATTTTAAATGCCATAGCTTTAAAAAGTCATATCCAAACTTCTCAGTATAATTCTATTCTGAGTAACAAGCTGTAGATGAAGCTCCAGAGGAGTGGCTTGCTTTAAGAACATTAGGGCTTATAATACACTATTTTTCTCCACTTCATAGATCAGTCCACCCACCCATTCTTCCACCTACAAGTGTAACATTATATACAAATGTATAAGGCCCCAAAGGAGAAGAATCATTCAGAATACCATCCTTGGTGCTTTGCTGAATGTTTTGCACGACAATTTACATGAACAAAATGTTTTTAGTTACCTTATCACCATGTACATTGCTTTTATTTCTCTCCAACTGCATATCATTTTTTCTCCCTCCTACATTTTCACTTCCCTTCAAGCTACAGGATGAAGCTACTGGGCACTGGTGAACTGCTGCTGCACGCTCCCTCTTCCCTCTGAAGCAGATGCGTAGCAAAGATAAGCGATACAATCTCTGTATAGAAATCTCTTACCTATCTCTCTGTGGAGGTAAAGATCTGCTCTGAGCACAGTCAGTGTAGATCATCTGATGTTTTTTCCTCATCTAGCTCTTCCCCTTGTGCTGTCACTAGTGGATCTATAGGCAGGGAGAGCAAGACGCTGGGAGTTTTTCAAACACAAGGCTGTCTTAAAGTGAGTTATGTTTTGGAGGGTCAGGGAAAACAACGAGAGAGAAGCTAGCAAACCAACCCTTCCTTTAAAATTGAGGGAATGAAATGTCATCCTGCAGGACCTAAAGTGTATGGGAGAGAGGAAAATCTCACCCCTTCTACTCTCACGTGGCAGTCCCATCTCCCAGTGCAGCCTGGCTTCTGTCTCTCCTCTGAAGGGGGGACTGAAATGTCCCAGAAACCAGGGGCTGGTCCCAGGGAAAGGGAGGGGAGACAACTGCCCTTCCTAGGAAATGTGAAAAGCATGTAGCCAGCCAGATCTGCTTAAAGAGCTTAGGAAGGCGGTCGAGGGAGGGAAAGCCCGTGCACCGGCCACAGTCACTTCTGACAGAAACGCAGCCTGCAGGGAACACCGTTCTGCTCGGGGCAAGCAGTTACGTGGCCAGGTGGTGTGCCGCTCCTGCAAACTGTGTCACTTGGCACACATCTGGCTGACACAGCTGGATCACCTCACTCAGGTGTTTTATTTTAGTGCCTGACATAACACTGGCAAGCCAAACACAAACACCGAAACCACTCTCCATGGCAGCCCCGTTGAGCTTGCTGACGAACACTTTACAGGCAGCACATGCAGGCACCATCTCCGCCATCCGCTCAGCCCTCTCTGCTGCAAATGCAGCTTTACCACACAGTGTCTAGATAAACTCAAAAGCTCCAAGGTTAGGTGGGAAATAGAAATCCAGTGACCCCCAGCTGGGCAAGTGAGCTTAATGACTTGTCTGCTGCTGTACGTACCAAACATATGCCAGCAAACACCTGCCTGAGCAGTCCCTCTAAAATAAATGATTGATGGAAGCGATTCGCCTTTAAAAATGGGATAAGTCAGCTGGGAGTCCCGCTAGAAAAGGGTTAATGGGATATATAAATTGCTAGTGAGTGGAAGGGAGAGGAGTGAAGCTGGGAGTCAGAGGCAACACCCCTTGTTAGGTGTTTACCATGTCGCATCTAAACCCCTTCCGTTGCATATGCAAGGCAGATGAATTACTCTGTAAATCCTATTACTCCTTGTGGATAAATCTTACATGCGAGTTAACAAGTCTGGAGAGCTGGGGAATGGAAGCTGCTGAACGGGTATTCCAGTATCAAAACAACCCAGCACACGGGAGCTGAGAGAAGCGATACGCATACACACACACACACACACACACACACACATATATATCCCTCTTCTAGCATCCTTCTTCCCTGGTCCCCTCTTGCTAGCTCACATACCCCTCTATCATTAAATGGGAGGGATGCAGGACACAAGGGATCACGTAGCAGACCATTTGGTGACATCTAGCAGGATTTATTTCAGAGAAAGAGAAAGAAAACTTTGCTGCTGCTGTTAGCTTTGCTAGGGGATTGCTCCCTTGATGCTTCAGGGTTTGTGCACTATCAGCTTCCCATACAGATTACAGGCTTATTTTAAATTATGTCCAGTTGTTTTATAGCCAGAGTACACAGTGTGTGCACACACTCACACAGATTTTTCCTTCAGTAGGGAAGTTACTGCAGGTAAGTTGAGCAAGGCAGAATTTGAAAAAGAAACCCGGAGGAAAAAGATGACTGCATTTCAGCTAACTGGGACGCTCCTAACTGAAAGCCCAAGTAGCCTCAGAACTACCTTTAGAAAAACTGCACGACGAATACAGAAATACAACACTTAATACTGCCAGTGAACAAGGCTTCGTGTGCAAAGACTCCCTCATCACAACCACCCAGGCACACAGGCACAGCATACATCCTTCCACTTAGCCCTGCAAAGAAACCAACAGAGTGAACGAGATACAAGCTTCATAAATGTCAGAGCTCTTACACCATTTTTTCACCAGCCTTTTTAACTACTGTATCCCTCTCCCCCTCTCTACAGGGCAGTAAAATAAATAAATAAAATTAAAAGCCAGAGTTTTCCGAACAAACTTGCCCGAGAGTTCTGGCAGCACCAGGGATAAAGTTTTTGCATAGGTACCAAAAGAACTATGGGAAGATCAATGGAACATCTGGCAAGCGCAGCTGGATTCCTTTTCGATTTCTCTATTGATACTGCAGGGCTGGTGGAAAATGTACGTTCACGAGAGCTGGCTAACACAAACAGATCTTTCCCCACTGAAATTCTTTTGATTCAGAGCACTACACAGAGGAGAGTGGTGGCAAAAAGTGCTGAAAAGCTCTGCGATTTTTTCATATTAAGGCACAACACACACACGCAGAGCTTGTTTGTAGCAGCTGCTGCTACTGCAGTTCGAGAGGTAAAATAACACACACTCTCACAGAGACACGTACCCACAAATCTATATCGCACCACATGTATACGCTGCATACATAGAAATACAGATACACACGTAGGAAAGGAAAAAGTTGGCAAGATGCCCTACCTGAGGATGGCTGTGTCCCCCTGCCTCACGGTGATGTTATCGGTACCACGGGTAAAATCCACGCTGCGGACTGGCAGCCCTGTAGGGAGAAGGCAAAGCAATCTCAGTAGGACCAGCGGTAATTGTTTCCGATCAGGCTGAGCCCTCGCTACCATGGCTGGTCTCGTCGAGTTTCACTGTCAGTACTTGGCTCTCTCTCTGCGTGTGTATGTGGATAGATAGATGTAGAAAGAAAAACAATAATAATAATGTACAACTCTGGCTCTGATCGACAGCCCCAGAAAGGGGAGGTGATTTCACAGTCCTTCTTAGCTGCCACTTTCTCTTGCTCTTTTCAGTCTCTTGCTGGCTTCTTTCCCCCCACCCCCTTGCCTTTTTTTAAGGCTTTCAAAAAAAAAAAAAAAAAAAAAAGTCTTAGCACAACCTTCAATTAAAAAAAAAAAGAAGGAAAGAAAGAAAAAAAGAAAAAAGGCAAGAGGAAAAAAGTCAGGTAGCAAAATACTTTAAAAAATAATAGCAATTAAGTCGACCCCTTTGGAGTGATGGAGATAGGTTGGGGGAAAAAAAAAAAAAAAAAAAAAAAAAAAAAAAAAAAAAAGAGGAAAAGGAACAAGAGGAGTCCTGCGCCGCCGGGCTGCGCGAGTGGATGGTCCTGCTCCAGTGCGCGGCTGTGCAGCCTCCCGGCCCCGAGCTCCCTTCCTAACCCACTTTCCCAGGCGGAGCGAGGGAGGGAGGGAGGAGGAGGAGGAGGAGGAGGAGGAGGAGGAGGAGGAGAAGGAGGAGGAGGAGGTGGGGGGGGGAGCCTCACTCGTGAGACAGCAGCTCGGCACCACAGCGGCGGCGGGCGCGGGAGGGGAACCGCCAGCCGCGCTGCCCGGCCCTCTCCCGGGGGGGCAGCCCCCCCCCCCCCCCCCCCGAATCCTCTCCCCGGGGAACGAACGGGGTTGCACAGGGCGGCCGGGGGGGGGGGGGCACTGCAGCAGGGAGAGGGGGCATGTGAGGGGATGAGGGCTGGAGGGCAGAGGGGGGAAGCCCCCCAGGGAGAGGGGGCTGGAGAGGGGAGGGGGGAAAGGCAGAGAGGGAAGGGGGTGGGAGAGGGAGAGGGGGCTGGAGAAAGAAGGAGAAGGGGAGTGGGGAACTGGAAGCAGAGGCAGACCGGGAAGGCAAGAGCAGCCAGGAGAGGCTGAGTGGGGGGAGGCACAGGCAGCGGGGCAGAGAGGGTGGAAGAAGATACGACCGATATTCACAAGAGCAAATACTGGGGGTGGGGGGCAAAGAAGCTGTGGCCAAAAGTGCAAACAACTTGGCTTCGCGGCCTGAAGCCACAAGCTAGCTGATTTACAGAGCAGCATTCTTGGCAACTACCTCTGCAGCCTCAACCCTTGCTTCTTTCCCCCCCCACACACACTTTCCCCATACCAGATAAACAGTTGTACATCCCTCCCTCCCTCCGCCTCCCCCCCACCTCCCTCCCCTCGGCCCTTCCCGCCCCCCACCTCCTTTCCCAGCCTTTGAGGGATGGACGGGAGACAATGCTGGTATTGAGCTGCCCGCAGTGTGAATACCCGGCCTGTCCTCCCCGACTGCCAGCGCCCGGCAGCTGAGCCCCGAGCCCGGCGGCAGCGCTGCCCACCCGGGAACGCTCCCACAGCTCGCATCCCGGCACCGGCACCGCCGCGAGAGGAGGGAGATGAAATTAATGGAGAGGAAAAAAGCCGCCCGTGTCACTGCTGGTGCCTGCCTGCCATTCCCCCAGCCCGCTCGCCTCTGCCTGCAGGAGGGATGAGGAGACCTGCTCCCCCGGGGGTGTCTCGGCTGGCGTGACCCTCCGGTGGCCGAAACACGGCGGGGCTGGGAGGGGGAAGCAGAGAGGGCTGAGGTGGTGTGGAGGGAGGGGGCCGGAGGAGCGGGTGCAAGGAAAGCTGAGGGGGAACTCTGCGGTGAGCTGCCGTCCCGGCGTTGGGAGGGAAGGGGAAAAACCCGTCTTGCACGCTGCCTGCTTCCCCTCCGGTCCTGGAGCCTCGTGGGGAGATACAGGGGACCCAAACTGGAGGTACGGAAGGAATGGCTCCGTGCCCTACACACGGCCACACGGCATCTGATCAAAGGTCCCCCCCTAACCCTGGGTCCTGTCTCTGAGCACAGGCTGAAGCCAATGCCCCGGGGAAGAGCCCAAGCACAGGACAAGCTGCAGTTGCACTGCCCCTGGGTGCTTTTCTGATTTCCAGTGATTTGTGGCTAAAGCATGTCCCCTCAGCTGGTGGCAGTGTCTTTGTAGTTAATGGCCCTCGATTGATTTTCTTCTTCCAGGAATGCGTCTAGTTGCCTTCTGAACCCCTAGAAACCGGCCCCTGCAGCCTTGGTATGGAAAGGCCCTGCTGTCTATGAGTACTTAAACAATCCCTGCATGTGTTAAAGGCCCCCAAATTAAGGGCTAAGGTCATGACACTACTGCGCCCAGTGCCATGCATGCAGCGGCAAAAGAGATGACGGCTTTGTATTCAAGCCAAGGAGTGAGCCAATTCAGACATTTCCCCTGCGGGAGATTTGGCAGGGATGGCACCAGAGTTGGGGAGCAAAGAGAAGGAGATAAGGGATTAATTGGCACACTGGATGTTCCCAAGATACTGCAGAGAGAGATTTCACCTGACAAGGGTATTGCTCTGAAGAAGACCATGCTGCTGATAAACTAGTAGCCACCACTCTAGGGCGATGGACAGCACAAGGGACAGAGAGATGCCATCAGGCTGCTGGCATCCCAGATGATGGGCATCACCGAGCGAAAACCTCTGCACCCTTGTCACAGAGTTCCAGTGCAGCTAAAAGACCTGGTCCTATATGAAGATGAGACCAATGATAGAAACGCACCCCTCTTGCAAGTCAGTGTTGCATGGATCCCTTTTAGAAGGGTCTCCCACATATGCTTCATCTACATTTAATAAGAGCTATTGTATATTAATTAAATGCCAGTGGAGTAAGGAAAACATATTTGTCGAAGATTAACTATTATGCAATGCAAGAAGCATCTGCCACCCAACTGCTAGAGCTCACTAAATATTTCCTTATCTCAGAGTATTTACTTAGGAGGCAATAACTATCCAGTTAAATCTAAATTTAATGCTTAGTTAAATATAGTTCATGGAAAGTGGCACCAATATGTTTTATACAGAGAATGACAGAAGAGGGGGTTTCAGGGAGGGATAAGGAAGGAACCCTGTCCCCAGACTCTGGTAACATCCTGACTCGAGGTGGGACTGCACGTGGCTGTGCTTCCCTGCAAAGTGGGGCTCATCACAGCAGACGCGGAGGCGCCTCTCGGCTGAGATGGAAGTACAAGGGAAGTCTTCATCTTCTTAAGCATCTGTACAATCCTCATTAGAACCACCGTAACATAACTATTTAATAATAATAATAATAAACATAATAAACAGAGATACGAGCAAGAAATTCCCTTGAGGGTCTCGTAAACCTTGGGAAAAAATAAAACAAAACAAAAGCCTAAAGCTGATAGGTCGTACTTACTTTTAGAAGCGTACAGAAGCAAAAGGAAGGGGTTGCCTGGGTATAAAAGGCTAAACAAGCAGGACTCTCACAAATTCTAGGAGAGAGTCTCATGAGTAAAATAAATAATGTTGTTTTTGTACATGTTCCCAGAAGAAATAACTCTCTGGACCCATCTCCCCCTGCTGGAAGCAGATAACGAAACAGCAGGTCTGCTTTCTAACTTTCCTGCCTTCTGAAAACTTGAGGAAAAATTCAGGTAAACAATCAGAGCATGGACACCACAAAACCATACTGCCATCTTCTCATGCCATTTACCAGTACTCCTGGTAGGTGCAGCACTGGCAGGGCCAGCCCGACTGACCCAATTCTGTCACTGGGCAGTTCAGGAACGGATGGGGCAGCACGAGCCCAGCCCCACAGGTACCACATCACCCTCCTCCAACGCCAAACACGTAACACCCTGCTCAAAGGGAAGGCGGCCCAGAGCAACGCCCTTTGATGAGCGCAGGCTGCACAGCACCACCAAAGACACGACAGGAACGCTTTTGGATGACAGGCTGAGGAAGGTGTCTGCTTTTCCACGCTATGGGCGCGGGATGGCTCTGCGTGCAAGCTGGAAGGAAAACAGCAGCACGAGCAGACACAGCCTGGCTGGCCTCATGCTCCTTGGCTTTGAGGGAAGCGTGCTGAAGACATCACAGGAGAGACCCTCCATGCTGGCCCTGGAGAGACAGCCTCCGCTGAGATAGGCAGCGCGGAGATGCTCTGGGATTGGTACTCGGGTCACCTCTGCCTACCTGTGTGGCAGCTCAGTTTTACAGCTACTCAGGGACTGACATTGCGAAAGCCTGAAGTGCCATCTGGTTTTCATGGAGAGCCAACAGACACTAAAAGCATGGACTCTGGCCACAAATAGGGATTTTTTTTTTTTTTTTTTTTTTTTTTTTTCATTTGAAGTGGCTAAAAGCAAAGAGCAATCCATGGAAACTTCACACAATGCCAACTGCAAGAGCCATCTGTATGATGTGGATGGCTGCCCTCTAGGAGCTGAAATGAAGCTCATCAGCTCATACCACAAACAGCCACAAAACCGGCAACTGTTGTCGCTTGACTTTCATTCACTACCAACCACACCAAAACCGGTGGTTTGTTCCCAACTATTGCTGGGGAAAAGACATTTATGAAGATATATGATATTCCTCCAGACCCTATCATGATCAACACAGTTGTTTTAAGGGGACTGCATAACTGCTCTGCCAGCAGAGTCCAAGCATCTATTCAGGGTATCTGCAATGATGAGCGAAAACATATGATGTTTTGTGAGCTATAACGTGTATAGTCAAGATACACGGCTGTACTCGGCAATTTTATTGCATTGGCAGAGGAGTGGAGAGGAACAGGGAAGAGCCAAAGGGGTGTCAGCATATGGGGAGGAAGATTAAGGGATGGTGGCGGGGGAGCGGTGATCTCTCCTTCCTCCCTGTACCCACTGCTCCTCCACGTACACATTTTTACCCTGATGTGTAAGGGTAGCATCCCACTCCCAATTTATTAGGCCGCTACGTTGCACTCTCC